ATTTAAACCACACACACATCAATATATATATAGTGTTTAATTTACTACCACTCTCAAGTGTTTATGGAGTTACTTACAGTATTAATAATTATTGAATAACAAAGTCACCTATTATAGTCCGTTCTAACGTCTCAAAGATGAATACACAAAAAACTGGCATATTTTTGAAGCGATAAAATTTTACTTTGATTATGAAATATAATTCTTTTGAAAATCAACTAAATACTTGTAATTTATTTTGTCCATTAAAATGTGAAATTTCAAAATTAAGTTTTTTTCCCAAAAAATGTGCCACTTATTTAATTCACAAAATTAATTCACATGTTCTTGTATGATGCGATCTGACTCAGAGTCGGTATAACCATGAGTCGAGTTGGGCCATCATGTGTTTCTAACAAACATAAAGTTAGATCAGCCTAACAATAACATTTCCTCACTCAATTAGAATGTGACACCATCCGAATTTGAAAAGTTTGTTCAATGTTTTATACAAGTTTAGGGTGTGACTGATACTGAATATGAATTTGCTACAACTGTAGGTCCAATGGCATTTGCAGAAAAGATGATTTTAGCTATATTTTCGGTGAGTCCAGTCAACCTCAGTTACTTGTACATTTCAAACTAATCGACTACTTCCTTGATTTGACCCTTCACCTAATTGAAATGATTTCGATTGGTCCACGTCAGATGCTAATCGTACTGTGGATGACAAGGAACATAACCGACGACATTCCCGGCTGGGGATCCCTCTTCAACGGCCGCGCCGGCGACGGCACCGCCAGCGTCAGTATTCACAATTTCCCCAATTTTTTTTTCCTCCAAAAAAAAATTAAAAATTAAAAAATAAAATAAAAGCGAATTCCGTCCGTACATGAATCAATCAGGTGGTGATGGCGACGCTGCTATTCATAATCCCAAACAGGAAGAGCCCGCGTGAGAAGCTCATGGACTGGAACAAGTGCAAGAAGATCCCATGGAACATCGTCCTCCTTCTCGGCGCGGGCTTCGCCATAGCGGACGGGGTCCGCACTAGCGGGCTGGCCCAATTCCTATCCGAGGCGCTGGACTTTCTGGAGTCCACTCCTTATTGGGCCGTGGCCCCCTCCGTGGGCCTCATCAGCGGGACCATCACGGAATTCACGTCCAACAACGCGGCCTGCACCATCGTGGTCCCCCTCCTAATCCAGATCGCCCGCACAATGGGCCTTCACCCGCTCCTCCTCATGGTCCCAGGGGCTATTGGGGCCCAATTCGCTTTCCTCCTCCCGACCAGCACCCCATCAAACATCGTGGGCTTCACGACGGGACACATCGAGATCAACGATATGTTGGTGGCCGGAGCACCGTTGAAGGTCGCCGGAATACTTGCCTTGTCCGTGTTGATGCCAACACTTGGTATCGTTAATTGTCTTTGTGCTTTACCAAATGTAGCGTTTGTCTTCTCATGTATCGATTGTTGTACTTGAATACAAATTGGTTGGTCGTTTTTTGCAGGGGCCTTTGTTTTCAGGACTAACGAGCCGCTGCTGAACTTTTGGGGGACGTAGCTGATTATCTTCGGGTGATTGGTGTCTGAATATTCCGGGTGCATTCTTTTCCTTTCTGTTGATGCCAATGAGGAAAGAATGACAGCTGAGAACATGAGAAATGAGACTTGATCAAGTTCAGGGCCAGCTTTCTTTTATGTTGTAATTTGAAGTATTGTGAATGATCGATCATGTATGGGTATATATCATGAATTGAGTTAAGGTGAATGTAAGCTATCCTCTTGTTAATATAAGTTATATAGTTTTGAATTTTATCAATTGTTTGCTCTTTCGAGTGTACCTTTTATCAACAAAATGGAAGTGATTTGTTAATAGTATTTGTTGTGTCTCCTCCTAGATCTGGAGTAACCCGGTTGAAATGAGCTCCGATCTGCCTGAACCGCCTCTACATCGCCACGAACACCTGCAAGAACTCAATGCCGGAGGGGCTTCCGGCGTAGAACCACCGATGCTTAAGTCAGTATCAATAAGAGAGAAGATGCTCTTCTGAGAGCAACAACAACAGGATATGAAAAGTGTGTAGAGAGTGTAAAAGTTAGGGTTTGGTGTTACCTCAGTCCCATTTATAGGGAAATACCTACCTGGAAAGTCTCGGGTCAACAGCCCTGATTATCCGGTTTTGCCCATATCCTAATCACTTCTTAGTTAGATCTGAGTTAGCTTGAGATTTCATCTTATCATATAGAGATTCACCCTTATCCATTAAACTTGCTAAACATTAAGTGGTTTTACCTTATGTGCCTCGAGCAGCGAGACGCGAGACGTCGATCTCGAGAGGCAAGAGGTCGACTCGGGATTGCCGAGAGGGAATCACCATCCTAGGGAATCTTGCTTTTAGGTCCTCAAGGTGGATGAAATCGACTTCGAGGAATGGAGAGTCGACATCGAGGAGCTAAGAGCCCCTCGAGGCAAGCGAAGCCGACTGCAAATGTAGAGTCGACATCGAGGAGCCGAGAGCCCTTCGAGGCAAGTGAGGTCGACTGCGAATGGAGAGTCGACATCGAGGAGCTAAGATCCCCTCGAGGCAAGCGAGGCCGACTGCGAATGTAGAGTCGTCATCGAGGAGCTAAGAGCCTTCGAGACCAGCGAGGCCGACTGCGAAGAATAGAGAGTCGACCTCGGGTGGTTGATGGTTCACGGTGGCTTTCTCAACTTGTCATGTGTTAGTCTCGAGTCGACATCCAACAAATCGACTTGCATCCTGGTCGAGTTACTTGCACTTGCGGTTCACCGTAATATGGTTATATCAGTCTTGACAAATTATAATCTCTACACTTGTCTACAATTCTGCATGAATTTTTGTGTGTCATTCTAACTACTAGTATTCGACCATGTGCATTGACACATATATAAATAAAGTATTATAATTTAATTTGTATGCGTCTAATATTAATACTATAAGTTAGATAATAGTATTTTTTTAAACTATAGGTTTTTAAATATATGATAAAATTTTACCAAAATAATTATTTTATGGAATCACGTTATAGTCAAATCGAATTTTTGAATAAAATTTTTGAAATGACACATATTTTGAAATGATATAATGTAATTTATTATGAATTATGTGCAACGCACGGGATGTGTGCTAATTTTAAGTAGACATTTTTTTTTTATAATTTTGCTCAATTTAAATTTTATATAACATTTTCAATAAATTATATAGGTGCATTGTATTACATATTGATTCCATGTTTCTAATTTATAAATATTATTTTAATGAAAAATTTTAATTTATAAATATTAATTAATATCTTTTATCTGTGCATCGCACGAAATTAGTACTAGTCTTTTTATACCTAACTAGCTTACGCAATATGCAACGCTACTTACGCTATTCAGTACAAAGACCAACACGCGACCCATTAAGCTATATGCATTTTAAAACAGTGGGTTGTAATTAGGTATTTTTTTTTTTTAATTGCGAATACTAAAAAATCAAATAAAACATCATCAAAGTTTTTCATATAAAAATCCCGTAATTTTTTTTTATTGTTCTAAATAATTATATCATGTGTTAGATGTTATTGGTTTGGTTGGGCACACTCATTCTATTCAAATAAATAATATATAATTTTTTATATTTTATATTTCTTTTATCTCAATAATGAGATGTTAAATATCAATAATTATGTTTAAAACAAAGTTTAATAATATTTTAATTAACAAGCTCGTCCGTATATCGCACGGGATGCGCACTAGTTAATGATATGATAATGATGAGATACGAATTTACATAAAACTACGGATTTTTTCATTAATTTTAAGATATTGAATTGGTATTGTATGAATCATTAATTCGTAATCTATCATTTGTTTTATATTGAAAAAAATCATATGATTGAGTAGATATAACAATTAACTATTACGTAGATATTATTAAAGTTTAAATTGAACAAATCTTTCGTGTAAGATATGATTTTCAAATTGGTAAAACTTTGAATGCAATCCGATTTATTTGTAACTAAATGAGATGACTTTCAAATTTTCACTTCAAAACCTAACTTAAATTTGGATGCAGTCCAGTTTTGTTGAAAATAAAATGAGAAGAGATTTTGAATTTCAAATTCACTTCAATATCTATCTAAATTCTCAGAAACGAATTCAACAAAACCCTGAACTTTAGGGGCATTTAATGTTAACCGATTTTATGGTTTAAAAATTCAAAAACTTTCAAAATATAGCATGCAATTAATTTTTGCGATTTTGTCTACAACTACTAGTGTGTAGCCCGTGCTATGCACGAGTAACAATTTTAAATATTGATTATAAATAGGTGTCGAGTTCGAATCACCCAATGAAAGAAGTGTGGAACCACTATTGATCCTCTTTTTGAAGAGCAAGAAAAAAATATTATAAATTAAATATGATGATAAACAATATAGAATAATAATTATAAATTAAAAATGTGAGGTTAACATGTGATATAATTTAACGTATATCAATTTATTTTACACCATATAAAATTATCTATTCATGAGAACATAAAATTCAGTTATTATAAATCATATAAAATTAGCTTATACAGGAGAACATACAATTTGAAGGTTTAAAATATTAAAACACTTGAAGTATTATATCAATATGGGTAAAAGTATCTAAAATTTTCTATATTATTATTAAAAGATGTGAAGTCATTTTCAACTTTTCTAAACTATGTTGGAAAGAAAACATGTCTAAAAATATTTAAATTTCACATTAAAATTAGCTTATACAGAAGAACATAAAAATTTGAAGGTTTAAAATATTTCACACTTAAAATATTATATTAATATGGATAAAAGTATCTAAAATTTTCTATATTATTATTAAGTCATTTTCAACTTTTTTAAACTCTTTTGTAAAGAAAACATGTATAAAAATATTTAAATTTAATATATATATATATGTATATGCGTATATGTATGTGTATATATAGATAGAATATAACATGATAAAATATTATATAGAAGCATCTGAAATATGCCTAAATAAAGACATTAAAAAGTTTTTGAGAGAAAATTTACATAGTATATATAAAATAAATATTGACATGATACCGAGAATTATAAGGTACTTCCATATCTGAAAATTTGAGTACAGAAGATTTCAAAATTATTATACTAATTTTTTAAGTTATTACCGTAAAAAGAAATTTGTACGCATAACAATTTCACGCATGTAGATTTATCAATTTTATAAATATAAATCGAGATTAATGCAAATCTAACAAAAATGTCATTTATTACGAATCCACTCATGTAGATTTATCAATTTTACAAATACAAATCGAGATTAATGCAAATATAACAAATAAAATGGCATTTATTTTATATCTAGATTAAGACAAAGTTGTTATCTAAAAAGCAATTCCACACAAAGATTTGTTAATTTTACAAATACAAATAGAGATTAATACAAACCGTAACATATAAAATGAGATTTTATATCTAACTGAGATTAAGACAAAATTGAAGATGGTATTTAATTCTGTATTTTTTCTATTAACCTTTTACTGTATGTATTTTATATTTTTGGTGGATAAAAATGTGATAAATCATTTTCTTATTAAATGACATGTAATAAATGCTAATGGGAGTTTCACTAATATTTGACTAAGAATTATTTTTTTAAAAAAAAAATTATTAGTTATTATTATAAAAAATCAGTTGTTGCTGTCTTGAATTAACAACTTCAAATTAAACACAGTTGATGTTTCAAAGATGAAGATAAAAGTTTAATTGGATTTTATTGATTCTGTTCACAAGAGTACAGAAGTCGGTTTTTAGCTGAAAACCGAGGTTGTCTCAAGTTCGTGTACAATGTGATCGAAAAAAGATCCTCGTACTATCATAAATTCTGCTATTTATAGTACGGTGGCTTTTGTTTTCTTCCTCGAAATGGATAGAGATGCATTTAATATTGAGCTGCTTTGTTTGAGGCGGCGGGAAACATCAATGATTGCCTTTTTGTTTCGTTGGTCCAATCAGATGCTTCTAATGATTACTTTCTGTTGGAATGCTCAAACTTTATGGTAGTCGGTTGATTTGAAGTCGGTTTACTTACGTAGGTTTCGGATGTCGGTTTTGATCCTTTTTTGAAAGTCTGTCGGAAGTTGGATCTTTTGGAAAGCGGCCATTCTTAAGAAGTCGGTAATTTGCCATAATATATTCCGACTTTTAGTACCTTAATTCTGATTACTGGATTTGGTATCAACAGTGAGGCCCCCGACATCAGGAAGTATTTGAAGCTTTTTAAATGATTGCTGATGTCGTTTGTTGTTTCACCTTATTCCGATTCGCTTTGCGTTGTTACCGACATGAGAACACTTTGTTTCATTCGACACTTCACAGTATTTGATCTGACATGGCGGCTCTTAAAAGACGTGTCCGCATTAAATGGGCCCAACGGATACAATTTTGTAACGACATGGCGTTTCAGGATATGGCCACGTAGAATAATAATTACTGTAACGTTATGTCCCTTGAAGACACGTCCGTTACACGCGCCGTTTCCGGATGCTTCTAACGGTCATAAATCAAAACCTATAAATTGAAGTCGGTTTTGGGGCGCAAAAAATTTCTGTACCTTTAACCTCTTCGATTTTTCTTGCATTCCTTTAGCAGTCTATTTTACGTACTTTCCTTGTGCACTCGCCTTTTTCCCTGTGATCTTTTCATCAATTCGGAGTTCTTCGAAAGTTTTGGTAAGAGTTTGCCCTAATCTTTCTTGTTTTCTTATTCTGTTTCGAATTTTCTGTATTTTTCGTCGATTTCAAGGAGAGATGTCTGCGCAAACTGAAAATAGCAGTAATCGAACAATTTCGGATATTCCGATCCTTACCGATGAGGATTTAGAATTGCCTCTTGAGTATTATCGGTGGGATCCTCTTTTGGTTAAGAGTCTGAATCTCAATAGGGATATCATCGACGAAGACAAGCGAGTCGAAGAGGACGCTATGTCACTTCCGGACTATTGGAGACGTCCTGCCCGTCGATGGCCAGAGCCGATTGACGAGTATAGGGGCGAACCGAGTATTCTTACCGATGCCGATATCGTTATGCTTCGAGGAGAAGTATATATTCCTTCGTCGGTAAAGTTGTTCGCTCCATATCCAGGTGAAAGGATCACGTGTCCACCTCCAGGTTGTGTCGGTGTATTTGCCGACTCACTGAGATCTGGACTTCGGTTTCCCCTCCCGGCTCTAATCACGGATTATCTAAGGAATTGGGGGATCAGTTTGTGTCAAGTAGCGCCCAACTCATGGAAGAGAATCATTGGTCTTCTGGTGTTGCTGAAGGAAAAAGGTTGGGATATGCCAACTGTTGAGGAGTTAAGGAGCCTTTTCTCGTTCCGGAGATGTACTGACAGGCAAGTAGCAGATCCTTTGATTTGCTATGCTTGCGCAGGAAGGCCCCAGAGTGGTTTTAAGATTGGTGATTTGATCACAGAAATCCCGGATTCACTGCATGGGTTCCAAGAGGAATGGCTGTGGGTCGGTGGGGAGTGGCAGACTCCAAAT